CGTGCTGCATGCCGGGTAAAGCTGGTGCCTGTGGGCGTGCTGCATGCTGGGCAAAGCTGGTGCCTGCTGGGTAAAGGTATTTCCTATGAATGTGGTATCTGCTGAGTAAAAATTTGGAAGCTGCTGGGTAAATATGTGCCTGTTGGTGAGGGGCCTGCTAGGTAAAAGTGACATCTGCTGGGTAAGGTGGGTCCTATGAGTGTGGCTTGTGCTAAGTAAACTTGTTCCCTATGGTCATCATGTCTTCCAGGTGAAGGTGGCGCCAACAGGGTAAAAATGGTGCCTGCTGGGTGGTAGCTCCTGGGTAAAGATGGTTCCTGTGAGCATAGTGCATGCTGGATAAGAGATCCATGTGTCCATGGACATAGTTTATTCTGGTCAAGGGATGCCTTCTGCTGGGGTCCAGTGAAGAAGGTCCAATGTCAGAGAACAAAGCTGTCTCAGAAAATAAGCACTGACAATGCTGCCCTGGCCACCCACAGTCCCCACCTTGGTGGAACCTGGAGGCTGGCTACAGAGTGAGCTGTTACAAGCCAGGATGTGGGCATCCACTTGTTCTTCTCACTACCCCTTGCCACATCTTCCAGTATACTTTTGGCCGGGTAACCCTTCTAGAAGAGCCTCTGCCCTCTGGTTCTGGCCACTTCTCTGTTCATTTACACCCACCTCCCTTCTGTTCCACACATGCCCCTCTTCCAAGGCTGCTCACTTCAGCCACTGCTATCTTCCTTCCTGGATCTTGGTCTTTCCCAAAACATTCTGGATCTGACTGAGTTTATCGCCATAATGTCCTCATTTAGGAGTAGGTATGCAAGATCACTTACTGATAGGGAAAGCCAGTCACTGAGAGTTGCCTGGCCTGCCTAAGCCTGAGGCAGCACAAAGTCTCAATGATGGAAACATCCCTTTCTCTCCTCTTCCAGGCTCTCACCATCAGGGGTGTGGATACCGTGTCCCGTAGCTCCTTGGAGATGTCCCCTTTGGCCCCAGTAACCACCCATGAGAGAAGAAGCAAGGGGAGAAAACGGATGTCTTCAGGAACCGAGGAGTGTGGGGAGGACAGGCTGCCCAAGTCTGACTCAGAAGATGGTCCCAGAGCAGTGGTAATCCCAGCTATGGTTCTGGCTTTTCCAGGGTGGGTCTGGCATTAAAAGTCCACCATGCTAGGCTCCTGTACAGTCACAGCCCCCATGGTTGTTCCCCAAGGAGAGCAGCCTTGAGCCCCCTCCCGGCCCTTCCTGTTTCCCATGGCCTTTCTCAGAGTAGAGGAGCTCTGGGTAGAGGGATAGGGTAGGTTTGGGTGTTATGATATCCCCAACCTGAGGCTAGCATCCCAGCACTGGGGCTGGGGCTGGGGGACAAGGCCACATGGTATGGGTTGGTAGGTGTTCAAGGACATGCCCCTAAGAGCGAGGGGCCATGCCAAGTGCCCCAATTCCTGCTAAGGCCAGGAGACTTCCTGCCTCCTTCTTCCTTGCCCAGCCTGAGCTCTACCTCCAAGCCCAGATAAGCTTCAGGCTCCCAGCTCCAGAGACGTAGACTTGATATGACTAGAGATCCCAGAAGATACAGGATTATCTCTCACCCCACATCCCCTCTTCCAAATACCCCTGGCCCAACCCACCCAGTTCCCGTGTGGCCAACAAAGCCCTCAATGCTCCGGGAAGTTTAGCTGAGGCCAATGGCACAAAAGACAGATTGAGAGCACATGAAGAGCTGTCGTGGTCATGTCCCTTCTCCCCCTGCCCTCAGAATCGCCTCAGCCTCACCCACGGCCTCAGCAGGACATCTATGAAGCCACGTTCCAGCCGGGGGAGCATTTTCACCTTTCGCCGGCGAGATCTGGGTTCCGAAACAGATTTTGCAGATGATGAAAACAGCACAGCGGGGGAGAGCGAGAGCCACCACACATCATTGCTGGTGCCCTGGCCCCTGCGCCAGACTGGTGCCCAGGGACAGCCCAGTCCTGGAACCTCGGCTCCTGGCCACGCCCTCAATGGCAAAAAGAACAGCACTGTGGACTGCAATGGGGTGGTCTCCTTGCTGGGGGCAGGTGACCCAGAGGCCACTTCCCCAGGAAGCCATCTCCTCCGCCCTGTGATGCTAGAGCACCCCCTAGACACGGTGAGCCAGCCCCGAGATGCAGGTGCCAGGGTAGGTCTGGTCTCCCAAACCAATCACCAATGCCAAGTCCAAAACTACTTTCTGTAGGTTTATGCACTGCACAGGAACGTCTATTGTGTACTGCGCTCTGGGTGCGTAAACCTACAGAAAAATCTCTGCCCTCATAGAGTATCCATGCTAATGGGGACAGAGAGATGAAAATCAGAAGAAAGCCACGCATGGTGGCTCGCACCTGTAATCCCAGCACTTTGGGAGGCCAAGGTGGGCAGATCACTTGAGGTCAGGAGTTCGAGACCAGCCTGGCAAACATGGTGAAACCCCATCTCTACTAAAAATGCAAAAATTAGCCAGGCATAGAGGCGTGTGCCTGTAATCCCAGCTACTTGGGAGGCTGAGGCAGGAGAATCACTTGAACTCGGGCAGCAGAGGTTGCAGTGAGCCAAGATCACACCACTGCACTGCAGCCTGGGCAACAGAGTGAGACTCTTGTCTCAAAAAAGAAGAAGAAAAAATGTCTATATGGTGTGTCATGGTGATAAAGAAGGATCACAGTTAAATATGTCACAACCGGTAAGGCCGTCATTACCATCATCTGGAGAAGACTCTTCCAGGCACGAGGGACAGTGAGTGTGAAGGCCCCAAGGCAGAAGTCTGCCGAGCCTGTTGGAGGAGATGCCATGAGGTTGGTGTGGCTGGAACAGAGGGAGCGAAGGGGAGAAAGACTGCAGTTACTGTCACTAAGGTGATTGGAAGGGACTGGCCAGATCACGAAAGGCCAGTCGGAGCATTGGTCACTTAGTCAATCCTATGACAGACTGATGGCTGCCCAATCAGCCATCAGGTGTCCTTGCTGACCCTGGGTCCCCAACACAGTGACCAGAGCAGCCCACCCAGGAAAAAGCTGAATGTATGGCTCAGCCCCCAAGGTCTGCAGGGTGCACTTAGAGAGGAAGCTAGGACCCAGGGAGGTGGAGGATGGCCTGAAGATGTAGGACTCCCAGCCGCATGGCTTATTTTGTGCCACTCAGACTTTTGCTCAATCTGCGGGACTTGGTACAGGTTAATCTCTTTGTGCCTCTATTTTCTCATCTGTAAAGTGGAAATAATACGCCAGTGGGTTGTGGTGAGAACTGAAAGAGTGCAGCTAGGTCCCGTGCCGAGACCCGGACTTCCCTCATGTTGGAGTCCTTAGTACGATCTGTCATTAGTATTAGTGAGCCGGAAGGAGTCAGGCTCCTGGGGCACACTGCAGAATGCCCGCGCCCCACACTCCTCTGGAGTGCAGTGTGAAGGGAAGGAAACTGGGCACCCCTTGGGACAGACCACAGCTTTAGATAGAGCCGGGGAGGCCCTGGCCCATCTGAAGGGTGGGGTGTCTAGCTTCCAGGCAGGTTCAGCCCTGGAGCCTCAGCCTCATGGAATCAGGTCGGCAGCTGGGAGCGCTAATAGAATTTCCTAATCTCATTAAGGAGAAAATCATCTCATTGTACTGCACATGTCAGGAGGAATCTAAGTTCAAGCACTTCATTACCAGGAATTCTGACTTCACCCATTCTCACTTCTGTGGGGCCCATTTGTAACCTTAAAGGGATTAGCAGGCCAAGACAGGGTCATTTGCAAAGTTAAAGGAATTAACAGACCAAGATGGAGACATTTGAAAAGTCAAAGAGATTAGCAGGCTGCAGGCCCCTGGGAATGCCTTCTGGGTTTCCACTGGGTCCCCAGTGAGACATTTCTGCCCAGTTCTAGTCTGAAAACAAAGCACCGTGTTGGGCACACTGTGGGTGCCTCATCAACAAGGATGGGGGGAGGAGCCAGCCCAGCAGACAATCGGGATTGGGAGGCAGGGGCTGCAGACTTACTTAGCCCTCTGCTAGTATGAGAGTGCCTGGTTCCAAAGGCCAGATAGAGGTAGAAGCAGCACACTGAATATCCATTCCTTTTCTCCCTCCACATGTCAGATCTTCATCCTCATTCCCTGTGGTCACCTAGCAAGTTAGGACCAGAGCTGGAACTCTAACCCAAGCATTCTGATTGATTCCAAGAATTTACCTATCCGACCAATATTTATGTAGTGCCAGCCTGCCATGTGGAGTGCCAGGCAGTGCTGAGACTCCAGGGTTATAGCAGTGAACAAAGAAGACAAGATCCCTGTTCCCCTTGGAGTTTATACCATAGTTGGGAAAACAGTAAACTGGCCAGTATTTTCAGGTAGCAGTAAGTTGTGTGATAGAAAGTTGCTAAGGGGAGGATGGGGATAAGGCTTTTAGAATACTCGGGCAAGGCCTCCCCAAGGAGCTAGGTTAAAATTGACAGGCAAAAGATTTTAGGGAGCCAGCCCTAAAATGCAGAGGAATAGCATTCAGGCAGAGGGAGTAGCAAGCGCAAAGCCCCTGAGTGGGACACGTCCAAGGGGTGAGAGGGGCTAACAGGGCCACGTGTGGTGCAAACATTAAAATGAGTTTCATGAGTTAGGACTTGGGCTGTGCAGGACCTCGTAGATCATAGAAAAGTTTGGATATACTGTCAGTAAGATGGGGAGCAGTGGGGTAGAAGGAGTTGTTGAACAGAGCGTGACATTATCTGATTTACTTTGTAAAGGAATCCCTTCTTACTATGCAGAGAACAGAGGGACAAGGAGAAAAAAAGAAGCCGGTTAGGAGGCTGTTGCAGGGTTTGGGGAAAGAGAAGCTGACCACCTGGACTAGGATGGTGTATTAGTCAGCTGTTGTCACAATAATGCTGTGTAACAAACTACCCCAGAAGTCAATCTCTAGCAACAAGACTTTATTCTCACGCTCATTCCTCTGCAGGTTGACTACAATGTGGCCCATGTGGATTAGTTAGCTGGGCAGCCCTGCTCCAGACTGCACCCTGGCTGGGCTTGGTTCCACGTTGTAAGTTAGGCTCAGGGCTGCTCCATGAGTCTTTGTTCTGAGGCCCAGGCTGAAAGGGTGACAGTTATCTGGGAAGCTCTTTTCATGGAGGGTTCCTGGAGCACAAGAGCAAGATAAACAGTACTAGCCCAGCTGAGGTTTCTGTTCACAGCATGTTCACTAATACTCTGTTGTCCAAAGCAAGTTGTTCATGCCCAGGACACAGAAGTTTAATTCAGCCCCGGTGGGAGGGGAAAGAGAGTGCGTATATGCTAAGTGATAATCAAACCATCACAGATGGCAAAGAAGGAGGGGAGAGGTTGGGAAAATTTAAGACATGCTTGTGAGTTAAGCTGGCCAAATTTATGGTTGCGTTGGACCTAGGGCAGTACCACTGCACCAGCCGCCTCTGCCCTCTCAGGGGCCTCCACTTGAATACTTCCATGACCAGGAGCTCACTATCTCCCTAGGCAACATTTCAGAGCAGTCCTGCCGATGGCCAGGATGTCCTTAACTTGAGCCCGGATCTATTTGGTACCACCCCACACCGTTTCTTCTACCTGGGTAGTCTAGACCCATCCTCCCTCTGCCCTACGAAGATTACAGAGTCTTGCTATTGCATGCTGAACAGCTTGGCGCTGGGCTGTGGTCATGGAGGGCCCTGCTGAAGTGAAGACTTTATGGGCCCTCCTTGGTTTTGTGGGAGGCTCCAGGTAAGCCTGGAGAATGCCTGCCTGCCACCTCCCTTCACCAGGGCTGTTTCCAGACCTCGGGTTTTTTACTGATAAAAATGGTGCATGCTTGGTGAAAACAACCCACCCAGTGCAGAAGCACATGAAGTGAAAAGGGAGCACCTCCCTCTCTTTCCCCTCCCCCACAGTCCCGTTCCCCAGATATGTCCACCTTAATTATTTGGCACGCATTTTCCAGATCTTTTTCTTGTTTTTTTTTTTTAATCAAACGTTTGTCTTGGAGATGTTCCCATGGGAGCATACACAGAACTGCCTCTTTCTCTTTGTAGTCGATCTGAGCCCAGGCTTGGAGTGTGTCTATAATTGATTTTAATATGGTTGCTGTTGATTGGTTGTTTTCTGTTCTTGTGGTATTAGGAACAGTGCTGCAATGAACATCATTTATGTGTATTTTTGATGCACATGTGTAATTATTTATGAAGTTAGATTGCTAGATGAGGACTTGGACGGCCAATTTAAACTTTTCTTGGTAAATCCAGCCCAGCTGCCTCCCCAGAAGACACAGCCTCCCACCAGCCACGTCTAAGCATTGCGCTTTGTTCTTCTATTAGCATCATCTTAGAACATGTTAGGTTATTTTTTTTTTTTCAGCTTCTTTATGCTCTTGACTCTAAGAAGCTTGTGGTCAATTAAGACTTCCACATCATTTTTGCGTGTACAAATGTGTATGACAGCATTGGCTCAGGGAGGCCCTGTGAGATGTGTAGCTTCCTGACCACACTCAGGAATCACTGCTGATGAGAGGCAGTGAAGAAGAAAGGAGAATGAAGGAGACAGTGACTGGCAGGCGGGATGGAGGAAGCTGTTAACTGGGAGGGAGTTGGGAATAGAGAATCCCAGCATTCAGTGTCCCATCAAGACCTGCATCCTATCCCTGTGGCATCCCCAGCCTGAGTGTGGACTGGCCACCCCGGTCCAGCAGGACTAGAGCTGGGGTAGGACCCCTTTCCCCGTTTCCCCAGGCTGATGCACATCTCCTGATTGTACTCAGACCACGCCATCGGAGGAGCCAGGCGGGCCCCGGATGCTGACCCCCCAGGCTCCGTTTGTAGATGGCTTCGAGGAGCCAGAAGCACGGCAGCGGGCCCTCAGCGCAGTCAGTGTCCTCACCAGCGCGCTGGAAGGTCAGCACCCCCAGGTCATTTAAACACTCCCCGCTTCTGCTGCAGACACCCTCACCTTTATCCCAGCCTGATCCAGGCATCCGCCATTGGACTTGGCCTGCCTTGGACATCCCCACACTGTCCCAGCCTTCTCTGTCCTGCACAGCCCTGCCTGTCCTTCCTTGTCTTTTCATCTGTTTCAGCTTGTTCTTTCCTGGGAATTACCATGTCTGTGTTTCTCCCCAACACTCCCACATCTGACCTGTCCTAGACACTTATCAGTCTCATTCCACCATCTCCCATCCATAACCACATCTGTCTAGAACCATCCTGTCCTGAGCACACCCATGCCTGTTCTAAGCTATTCCCATATCTACTTCAGACTATTCCAGCCATTCCCACCATGGGCAACTCCACACCCTTCCAGTCTGAACTTGCACCCCCATCCTGGTGTTCCCTCCTGTCCCGGATGAATTCTCATCTTTTCCAGCCTGTCCTTGGCACCCCCTCCATTTATCCTGACACATCCCAGATGTCCACATCTGTCCCTCCCATTCTGTCGCAGGTGTCCACATCTGTCCCTCCCATTCTGTCGCAGGTGTCCTTGTGTCCGAACTTGCCTGTCCCCATTATTGTCTCATCATTTTCAGCCTGCTCTCCCCTGAAGATCCCCAGGTCTCTGCGGGTCCGCTGTCTTGAGCGAGCACACGCTTGCCCTGATGCCCCCGTTTTCCCCACCTCCATCTTGGCTTCCTGTCCCGATGGCCCTCTTCTCTCATATTTCCAGACTAACGAGCTAGGACACAGGCCACCCATTCCCTCAGCCTCCCCTGCCCCCACTGTCCCGCTGTCACATAGCAGCCCTGTCATCTCCCAAAGCAAGTCACAAATCTTTCCTGGAAGTTATTCCAGATACATGTGGCTCAGTCAACAGAATCAAACTAATTCACTGGCTGTCTCCTCAGAGCTGGAGGAGTCTCACCGCAAGTGTCCACCGTGCTGGAACCGCTTCGCCCAGCGCTACCTGATCTGGGAGTGCTGCCCGCTGTGGATGTCCATCAAGCAGGGAGTGAAGTTTGTGGTCATGGACCCGTTCACTGACCTCACCATCACTATGTGCATCGTGCTCAACACACTCTTCATGGCGCTGGAGCACTACAACATGACAAGTGAATTCGAGGACATGCTGCAGGTCGGAAACCTGGTAAGGGCCACCTGCAGCTGGCTCTCAAATGGGCATCCTGGCAGGAGGGGTTCTTGGGCAGCTGGCACGGCCTTCATGAGTAAGGGAGAAGGGATCCTGCACACAGAAGGATCTTTTGGGGGTGGGAATCATTGTGGAAGACGCCTTGGAGAAGGGAGGGAATCTGAGTTGGCTTCTAAGGAGCTGAGGAATGTAAATGTGGAGTGGGAGGGTGGAGTGAAAAGCTTATGCAGATGCCCAGAGGCTAGAAAACAAAAGTGAGTTGTGGCTAAACCTGAAATGTGTGGAGACCTGAAATTTTGTAATCTGTAGATGGAGGAGAGTGCAGAAGGAGGTAGTTCTCTTCTGAACGGAGCTAGCATCAGTGTTGTTGGATGGGGGAAATTGTGGATCGATGGTTGGCTAGAAGGAGGGAAGGAGGGAGGGAGGGAGGGAGGGAGGAATACATGCATGGATAGCTGGGTGAAGTAAATCAGGCAGAGCCAGATTTGAATTCTGACTCAGCTCTTACTAACTAGCTGATCTCAAGCAATTTACTCAGTAATTGGCTCAATAAATATTTGTTGAATTCAATAAATGTGAAATTAGTATGACAATATCAACCTCACAGGAAGGTAATGAGGACTGAATAAGATAATGTGTATAATATGCTTAGCTCATAGATAGACAAACAGTACGCACTCAGAAGAAATGACAGCTGTGTGGTTGTTGTTGTTAGACTGCTCCTGGAAGTCAGGATGTCTGGGCTCTAATTCTGATTTTTTTCCTTGAGACCAAATCAAGTCCTCCCTCTTTACTGTACAGAGGGGGAAACCAAGGCCCAGAGACAGGAGGGGTGACATGGCAGGGGCAGAGTTAGGCATCTCTCAACTCCCAGGGACAGGGCCATATTGGATCAGTCCAGGCAAACAGAGTCAGCCCATCTTTAGCAGATCCTAGGACAGAGCTGTCATGAGCTTCTGAGCCCAGTGGCCTCAAAAAGGAGCTTCTGAGATCATCATTGAGGTTGGTATAGGGGTGGTAGGGGGACTTCTGGCCCCATTTGATCTAAGCTCGCTCTCACTGCAGACCCAGCCTGTCTCAGGCCCAGCTGTTCAAGTGACCCCCATAGGCAGGTAGGTCTCTCGCACTGTGGGATGTGAGGATTTTCTTTTCTTCTTGCTTTCCAAACCCAGGACTCTAGATAGTTCTCTGCAGGGCCTATTCAGATTTTTTCACCAATTTGAGTCCGCTTGCTGTAGTTTTCCTTTTCTTTCCTTCTATGTGTACACAGAAGGGAAAGCTCTGTCTCAGTCTGTAGAAGTCTTACGGCACTGTTGGATGGTCTTCGGATGGTGGTCGTCCAGGCTTTCAATGAGTGTGCTTTATCAGGTTGTGACGATTGGGTTGGACTGAGCAGCAAGTTAGGTGTGAGAATAGCACTGGTGGCTTCACTGGGTCAGCAAGTTGTGGCTGAACTGCAGTTATATCAAACTTGTGATTAAATTACTGATAACAGGCAGTGTAGCTGGGTTATGACTATATTTTGTTCTGTTTGAATAGCTTTATTGCTAGTATGTAAGGTTTTGACTTTATTGCACTTCATATAGTCTAGGTAGTTTAAATATTAAGTGTTAAGAAATAAAACCATAAAAATAAGCATGAGTTAATAATCAGTATGGGAAAAGCCTTTCTAGGCATGCCTCTGAAGACAAATTCCATAAAGGAAGAGATCAATAGATTTGACTAACTTTTTAGCCCATCACACAAATGAAGGTAGAAGGCAAATGAAACTTGTGTCTCCAGCAACATTCTGCACCAGAAAATCTGAAGTCTCCTATTAATAAACAACTTAAAATACAGCAAACATTCTGTGAATTGATAGCTAAGTGCATGAGAAAGTACAGTAGTTCCTCTTATCCACAATTTTGTTTTCCATGGTTTCAGTTACCCACAGTCACCTGTGATGTGAAAATATTAAATAGAAAATTCCAGAAATAAACAATTCATTCGTTTTAAATGGCACGTTGTTTTGAGTATTATGATGAAATCTCACACCGTCCTGCTCCATTCTGTCTGGGGACATGAATTGTCCCTTTATTCAGACTATCCTGGCTCTATATGCAACCTGCCCACTAGTCACTTACTAGCTATTTCTGTTATCAGATAGACCCTTGTGGTATCACAGTACTTGTGTTCAGGTAACCCTTATTTTACTTAATAATGGCTGGCAATACAGATATACCAAAGAGAAGCCAAATACATGCCAAAGAGAAGTTGTTAATCTCTTATTGTGCCCAATTTATAAATCAAACTTTATCAGAGGTATGTAGATTTAGGAAAAGGTGTAGCATGTGTAGGGTTCAGTTTATCCATTGTTTCAGGCCTCACTAGGAGTCTTGTTGGAATGTATCCTCCGTAGATAAGAAGCGGCTACTATAACAGAAACCCCAAGTTCCAAAAACAGAGGCTTAAAAACCATGGCAGTAAACATGTAAAATGGTTCTGTAGTTGCCCTGGGTGGGGTGGGGAGGTGTCGATTTCTATAATCTAGAGGCTTGGATTTTAATGAGCACGTAGAGGCAAGACACTCAACCTTGGGATAGTGTGAGTAGGGGTGGAAACTGAGTAGCCACATAAGAATATGACCATACATTCAGAAAAATGGTGAACCGAAAAAAAAACCTACACACAGACCCTGGGAAATGATAAAGAAGCCCTGTCTCCAGGGCTGGAAAGGAAAAAAAAAGTACACCCTGGAAGGCTTGTGACTATGGATTTGGCCTTATACAGATTTGGGGTTCAGATTTACACCTGAGTAGTCCTGGAAAGTATATCTAAAAAATTAACATAGAAAGTGACCCTACAATGATGTCCTGGGGCCCCTAAAAGGGAACAAAACTTCTCTGGAAGGACACGCCTTTAGTCCAGGTCAAGCTGGATTCCCCAAATTATGAAACACAGAAGGAAATATTCCACCATGAGGAAGAGTCGGCAGACACACACACATGCACACACAATCAGGCTACCCCTTAAAAATCTCACATAGTAGAATTGCTTGATAGAGATGATAAAAATGGTCATCAATGGCCAGGCATGGTATCTCACACCTGTAATCCCAGCACATTGGGAGGCCAGGGCAGGCAGATTGCTTGAGCTCTGGAATTCGAGACCAGCTGGGCAACATGACAAGACCCTATGTCTACTAAAAACACAAAAAATAGCCGGGTGTGCACCTGTGGTCCTAGCTACTTGGGAGGCTGAGGTGGGAGGATCACTTGGTTCCCCCACAGGGCCAAGATTGCAGTGAGCTGAGATCGTACCACTGCACTCCAGCCTGGGCAATAGAGCAAGACCCTGCTGGAAAAAAAAAATGTTTATAATAACTAAAGACATAAAAGAAGGGATTTGAAATATAAGAAAATAATACAACTTTGGAAAAGAACCAAATCTCTAGAAATAAAAATATAGCCACTGAGATTAAAATTTCAAGGGACACATCAAATAGCATATTAATCCAGTTGGGAAGATAATTAAATGATTATGAATTTAGATCTAATAAAGTTTTCCAGAATGTAATGTAGAGATATGAAGAGGAGAAATAGAAGAAAGAAGGAGGAAAAACATATCTGACATTATTTTCCAGATTGTGTTGTTGTCTATATACATCATTTGAGAAAATCTAGAGAGGCTGTTAGAACTAAGATGAGAGTTTCACAATATTAGTGCGTACAGCCTCAGTATTCCAGATAGTGTTCCTAGTCATCATCCACAATCGATTGGAGAAAATAAATTTTTAAAGTTATCACTTATAATCACGATAAAAACTATGAGAAATTTAGTAATAAATATAACAAAAGGTACGCAAATTTCATATGAAAAAATTATGAAACTACCAAAAAACATAAGACACATAAGTGGAGAGATGTGCCATTTTCATGAATGAAAGTGTGAACATTGTAGAGATACCAGTTCTTCCCAAATTAATCTATAAGTTCAATGTAATTCCAATCAAAATCTCAATAACTTTTTTTAATGGAACCTGACAAGATAATCCTAAAACTCATGTGGAAAAGTAAAACAGATCAAGATAAATTAAGGACTAAGGTGGGGGATTTACCATAGTAGTTAAGATAACTTATAAAGCTAAAAATATTATAGTATTGGTGCAGGCATGGAAAAACAGATTGTGCTACAGAATTGAGACCACAGAAATAGAACAATCCATATTCTGTGACTTGATAAATAACAGAGATGGCATTGTAAATCAGTAGGAAATGGCTGGGTGCGGTGGCTCATGCCTGTAATCCCAGCATTTTGGGAGGCCAAGGTGGGCAGATCACCTGAGGTCAGGAGTTAGAGACCAACCTGGCCAACATGGTGAAAGCCTATCTCTACTAAAAATACAAAAATTACCCAGGCATGGTAGTATGCACCTGTAGTCCCAGCTACTGAGGAGGCTGAGGCAGGAGAATTGCTTGAACCCGGGAGGCAGAGGTTACAGTGAGCCAAGATCACACCACTGCACTCCAGACTGGGCAACAGAGTGGGACTCTATCTCAAAAATAAATAAAATAAAATAAATAAATCCATAGGAGAAGGACGGAACTGTTCAATAAATGATGCTGGGAGAATATCTACATGGAAGAAAATCAGTTTAGATCCCTATGTCACATCATATTCATAAATTAGATGTAGGGGAATTGGACTTAACACCTAATGTGATAAAGCAAAACTTTAAAGCTTTTTGGAATAAAAACAGGAGAAAAAGCTTTAAGATATTAGGGTTGGGAAGGCCTCCAACAATCCGAAAAGCTTATTTCATGAAAGAAAAGATTGCTAAATTATAAATTGTTAAAATTTATCATCTCTGTAAAACAAGGGATACTACCAACTGAAATCACTACCACAAACTGGAAATTGATATTATGATAAGTGTTTAACTAGACAGATATGGAATCCAGACAACACTGAAGATTTACACAGCAATAGGGAAAGAGGGACAGTGATAAAATGATGGAAATGACGGAGCCACAACCGTGGACAAAGGAAATGACAGAGCCACAACCGTGGACAAAGGAAATGACA